TCAAGGGAAAGCAATAACAAATTCTCTATTCATTCCCAAGAAAAAATGTGCCCAGTCTAATGCTAATATGGAGCCCTGCAGAATGTGTCGGAGGGTTATCAGTTCGTGGTTGGTGATAAGAAAGAATGACAACACATGCCCTCACTTAACACCCTCAGCTGTGTAACTTCTGCACAAAGTATTGCCGGCACTTGAGCTGTTCCATCGCGCTCATAACCTGCATTCCTTCACTTCCCTTTTCGAGCAAGGCCAAACCCCCTTGGCAAAAAAAAAAAAAAAAAAAACTGGTCTCACTTTCATTGATTCTTCTCTGCGTTTGGCTGCTACGATCAAAGAGCCATTGTGTTAGGGGGCCTCCTCTCTAAGCTGCTTTCCTAAGGAACTTCCACAATCATGGGTAAGTTGATTAGAAACAATGGCGGGAGGGTTGACGTTATGTTGAATCAGGAATTCAGAGCTAAACTTCCCAAAGCTGCTGCAGTGTGTGTGTCACCCGGTTCCTGGCAGGAGAGGGGATTATAACCATGCAACGTACACATGATGCATGCTAACCTTGGTCAGAAATGTTGAGTATTACAGTACAGCTCTGTTACAGCCGTCATCCATTAAGCTACAGTTCCCGACACTAAATATCTCCTTAAAATCTAACTCTGTCTATTCCAAATTAGTGTTTGGGAAACGCTGTGTGCTGCCTGCATCTGTGACTGCTTGTCTTCAGCTTGATGTGGGAAGACAGGTTGTTTAGGACCAGGGGGATTGAGGGATGGAGAAAGAACAGGGTGGAGGAGAGGAGAAGGAGGAGGAAGGCTGCAGCTGTTGTTGTGCGGAGTTTAGTGTTGGCCTGTTGTGGTTCAGCAGAAATCACAGCAGAGCCTGAGAGAGGCACTGCTGTCGTAATGAAAAGAAGGAAGGACAGATTGATAGATTGATTTCACATCTTCATTCCACCCTCCTCACCTCTGCGGGCTAAAGACCCCTCCAATCCTGAGGATTTAGCATGAAAGGCAGAAACAAAGCACCTTTCCTGTGCCACCGTCCCTTTTCTTCCTCCACCCTCTGTGTATAAATGTCGCCGCACTGAGAATCCTCCCCCGTCTGCGTCTGTATCGACCCTTCCTCTTCCTCAGAGGAACAGACAGCCAACTCCTGCTAGGGCCTTTTTCCTCCTGTTCACAGGGCGGGAGTTTTTATTATGATTGTTTTTAAAGATTTTTTTTTTCTGTCTGTCTGCCCAGGGTTGCGGATATTGCCGTAAGCAGAGAAGAAAAAAAGACAGGGAGGGGAGAGAAGAAGAAGAAGAAGAGCGAGAAAGAGAAGTTATTTTGCTGAAGGACATTTGCAGAGGCAGCTTTTAACACCCTCGCCCCCTCCCCTCCCTCTCTCTCCCTCCATCCCTGCTTAAACACTCTTCTCCCTTTCCACCTCTTTAAATATTGAGAATCGTTGCAAATTCCTCTGGCCTCTTCCTTTTGATGCTACTGGCCTCCCGACGGCTCGACAATAGAAATGCACTAGGAAGGGCTGAAATACTCAGTATAGAAACAGCAACAATTCCCCCCTTGCAGGACCTCCTTGCTCCACCCTCCAGGCCCCAGTAAACGGGTCTGAGCTTTGCTGGTTCCCAAGCTGCACCTCTTCCACGGCTCCCTGTGTTCTCGTGTCTGAAGGCCAAGCTCTCCCTCTGGGCTGGCTTTGGCTGCTCTTTTTCACTCTAACAGAGGGTGGCTCTCCACAGGCCTGGCTTTTTAACCCACACCAACATGCATGAACACACAAACACACACAAAACACAACATGCAGCTAAAACAGACTGTGAGAGTGACCCTGCTGACTCCTGTCACTTTAATCTTTACTTTTCACCCATAGAAATAGAAGGAGAGTAGAATGGACATTGAACTGGTGTTGTTACAGTGACAACACGTGTTAGTGCCTGAAAAGCTGGAAATCAGAATAGAAGTACAGAGACTTGTTGCATAGAGATGATCCAGCATCTCATCTAGTTGCACTGGCGTGAACCGGCAGGTTTTTGGATGTTGCAGAACAGCGCATTGCAACTAGTTGCTTGTTTCAACTCCTCTTGTCGTGAATCTTTGGACTGAACTGGGCTTTAGCGAGGCATTAAGCTGACGTCATAACCTGACAGCTATTGCACACCAGTCTGTATTTTTCCCAAATTGTTGCATGTTCAAAAATAAATCCGACCTCACCTGGTGTCAGTCATGTTTGCACCCCGACTCCCAAAACTTTCAGCCGTCATTAGTTTTTGGAACAGGTTCGATTTTCTGCACATTTTTGTATCCGTCAAAAGCCTTTAGAGAGTTGTGTGACAAAGAAGCAGTAAAGAAAATGTGGCGTAACCTGCAAGACATATACATTCTCAACAAGAGAGAGGAACAAGGCACACAGACAGACAGAGAGGTTGGACACCCCCAGCCCATTTTGGTAGCCATGGTGCCAGATGCAAGACACAGGAAGAGAGTGGCAATAGCTAGTGAGGTACCTCCAGTGGAGAGAAGCAAGGGAACAAATGTGTCCCTCCATTTTGTCCATTCATTCATTTTCCGTAACCACTTATCCTGTTATGGGTCACCGAGGCTGGAGCCTATCCCAGTTGACATTGGGCGAGAGGCGGGGTACACCCTGGACAGGTCGCCAGACTATCACAGTGCTGACACATAGAGACAGACAACCATTCACACTCACCAATTAACCTGCATGTCTTTGGACTGTGGGAGGAAGCCGGAGTACCCAAAGAGAACATGCAAACTCCACACAGAAGGGCTCCCCCAACAATGCTAACCGCTGCACCACCGTGCCGCCCATAATATGTATCCAGCAATCCTCAGTTCCTCTCTAGCAGCAAGGCAACAGAGACAGCGCCTCTCCATGCTTTATACTACTCCACTGCTCATTTGGTCGTTACTGCAAAACCTCACCTCACTGAGTTCACGACTTGCCACAAGTCACTTTATACCAAAGTTTATAGGGAAGTTAGCCCACTACAATGGTTGCAATGGCAACAGTGCACATAAACCACCACTCTGACCACCCTGCTGTGTTTATATGAATGAGAATGTCCTTTCTTCTCTCATTCTATTTCTATGTTTTCACCACTCGACCGCCCCGACTCCACACATCACCACATACACATTTCTCCCTGATTGCTTTGCCTTTTTTCTTTCACTGCTCACATGGCTGCGTTTTAGATGCTATTTAAGATTTTGCTAACTAGTAGTGTGCAGCGGCCTGTGTTGTGGGCAGCTCCGAAATAAAACACCGCCTGAGTTTAGATACACAGCGAGTTTTTCTTAAAGGCTGCATTCCTGAGCTGTTATTGCGCTTGTTGCTCTAAACGGAAAACTGTAAATAGCTGCTAAATAAAGCCGACGCTGTTAAAGTTGCACTCCGTCCAGGCTAAGCAACGGTCAAAACGCGGCTGGAGGAAACCCCCCCCCCCCCCGTTGCTTTCATGTAGAACAGGAAGGCGAATCCTGAGCAGAAAAAAGCAAGTGCAGCTGACTGAGATCATAGACGTGTTACTGCTTAACAGCCCACTTTATGAGATCGGCTCTTTTTGTGTTTTAATGAGGAGGCCATGGATGGGTGGAAAGGCGAGGAGATGGAGAGAAAGAGAGAGGGAAGGTTGAGTTTGTCAGGGAAGATGAGAGATTAGAGAAGATTGAGGAAGAATAAAGGATGGTGTGTAAGGAAGAAGTCGGAGAGAGGTTTAATGTCGCCTGCTCTCCTCAGGTCTAATTAGGAGTGAAAGAAGGGGCTATGGGGTCCGTCTTAAAGTGCTGCTGTTAATTTTTCACATCATAGGTACACTTCATGATACACTCTCCTCTCCTCTCCTGTCCTTTCCTCTCTTGTCCTCTCCTCTCCTCACACAAGAAACGCTTTGAGTCAAACGACGAGCACTTTTCTTTTCTTTGTTTCATTTTATAGCCTCAAGAAATTAACCCGCCATTTCTCTCCAGATTATTTTAGTTCAACAGGACATTTTTTTGCAAACAAACTTGGACGTCTGTTGTGTGTGTGTGTGTGTGTGTGTGTACGTGCCTCATTCCTCTCTATATTTACCTCCCTCTGAAAAGTGTTTGGAGCCCCCAGTGCAGTGCCATGAGATTGGCAGTTTGCTGCATGCTGATAAAGTCACGATCTGTGTGAGTGTGTGTGTGTGTGTGTGTGTGTGTGTGTGTGTGTGTGTGTGTGTGTGTGTTTAAGTGTGCCTGCTGGTGAAAGCGAGGAAGAAGGAAGGAATAGAGGCTGGACACCTCAGGAATGGTTTTTCGATAACAAGTTCCCCCAGCACTCTAGAGCTCTGTTGTACAATTTTGTGTGTTTTACTGCGCTGTCTACGCCGTTGTGTTTGTGTGTGTGTGTGTGTGTGTGTGTGTGTGTGTGTGTGTGTGTGTGTGTGTCCTGGGGGGGGGGGGCGCTTTCTTGCTGTGTTGTGATTGGCCACATGTGTATCATGCTCTCTGAGCCTATTTTTCATTTACCACACATACAAACACAAACACCTTCATAAATGGAAATATTGATACTGTTGAATTTGTTTTCTTTTTCTAATGAGAATCACCCACCCACACACACACATTCCTACCTGTGGAGCATGACTCCAGGTCACTGCTCTTGCCTCGTGCGCATCAACGCAGCGTTGTGCAACAGCAGAGCCGTCTCTAACTCGCACGTCCTTTACGCTGCTCTCCTCTCCGCAGGCTCGCCTCATTAAACTTTCAGCTGAACAGTTAAAAACTCTGCTGCCGCTCAGTCCCAACTGGCCTCGGCATAAGAGGAGTAAATTAAATTCAGTCTGTCCAGTGGGTTTGAAGTCAGATGGAAGGATGACATTTGCCGACTCTGTCTGACGTGGCCACAGGTGGTGCTTTGTGAGCCCTGACATCAGCCTCACAGTGTGCGGTGACCCCGGCTGGGCTGAAATACTTTTGTTTTGCTCATTCTGTCTGCCTGACTCTGCTCCCTCATCCTTGCAGTTAACTGCGGAGATTCCATCTACTACGGCCAGCAGAAGAGAGAGAACATCGGAGACCTGATCCAGGAGACTCTGGAGGTGTTTGAGCGCTATGGAGGGGAGGATGCCTTCATCAACATCAAATACATGGTGCCTACTTATGAGTCCTGCATGATCAGATGAGGAGGGAGGGTGTCACCCTGACACTGCACAGACTCTTGCCCCTTCCTCTGCTCTCTTCTGCTCAAACCCTCTCCTCCCGCCTCTCCACCCTCTCTGCTCTTTGGCACATCCCTTTAAACTCCTATTAAATTTCTAACAATGCATACATGTTCTCTCTGTATCTGTGTATTTACCACTATAACTTGTTAATACAAGCTTGACAGAACAAATTTCCCTCATTGAAAAACACCACTATGTTTAATGTATTATCCATGTCGTGTTCATTTTTTTATTACTTCAGTGATTTATTTAGCTGGCTGATAAGTAATCATTGATGCACAGTGACTTTGATGTCAAACAGCGATATCCATCAGATGAAAAATGTGACAAACACTCTTTCAAAATGTATGAAAACACAGCATTGAAAATTCCATTGATTTAAAAGTGATTTTTTTTTTCTGCCTCTCAAACGCTCACCACCGCTTGATGCTCCACTGTTGTCTGTAAAAGGTTGGTTCTTTGCTTCAGCAGCTGTTACATTCCCCTGCACGGTGACACGATTTCAAGGTGGAAAAAGCGCCAACAAGTCCAAAAGAAACTTCTCAAACCACTCCTGCAACATTTCTTTGCCTTTTTGCAGTCACCTTTTGTCACACCTGCGGGGTGTGAACGCACCTCAAAAGACACATTTTTCCCACAGTTCCACTTAGATCACATGTGATATTTTAGAATATCAATATTAAGTAGTTTATTTCCCTGTGCTGAAACAGTAAACACATGAAAACCACTACAAAGCTATTAATTGAGAGGGTGCTAATGCAGCTTGAGAGGCACAAAAAAAGGAGCTGGGTGAGATTCTAGTGATGCAGGCCCGTGTCTCCTGTCTCAGTCCACAAGGTCCTGTTGTACATCTGCACTGTGTTTTGTCCCGCTCTACAACTGCTCCTATTGTGTTGTACCACTGTACCCATTCTGTCACAAACCCAGCTGGAGACGAAGCTTGTCTAAACATGCAGAGGAAAGACGCATAGGAATGAGGACCGACAGCATTCCTCCTGATAACACTCACTCAGACACACACACGTTTGGTTACCATCCTTTGAACTCAAATGCCCCCCTGTGATCCTACTGAACATTTGGCGTGCATGTGGGCTTATTTATGACTGTCTCTGCATGACAACATACATGTTTCTTTTATTTGACCAGAACAACCAGTACCTCAGTCACATCTTTAACCAACTTTGTGTTCTCTTACTTCCAGATTGAAGCTCTCTCTCCCCACTATCCTCTCTAAGGCTTTAAAGTCACAGTGGAAACTTCTTCCCAGACACAATGGAAGTTTTAGCAACCATATTTCCCCCCACACACACTTGCGCATATACATATACAACCCTGCGACCCACAGGGGAAACATAGCGTAATTGATTTCTGACACTCACAAGGACACTTGCACCGTCTCGTATTGTAAGTCATGTCTCCGGCAAAAGCAACTTTACAGGCCTGCAGAGGAATCTATTCTCAACCAGAAGACAGGTTCATAATGCTCATATTTCAACCTCAGCACATCTTGAAAAGAACGCTACTGAATAGCTGTTCCACGCTGCTGAACCCGGTTGGCTGCTCTCCGCCTGCTGCCTGATCTGTGCATTGAAAGACAAAAAAAGGAGTGCAGTGCGGCCCCCTTTCAAATACAAAACACATAATTCACCTTAATAACTGCGGCTGCATAATCCAACAAATATAGCAGCGGTGCAGGGGCATGGACTACTTTTAAAAGGGGGGGGTTACAATTTCACCTCTGTTCTCGCTTGATGAGCCGATCGAACTCTGAACAGCCTGCGGTTCTGTCGAACTGTATCAGTGACGCCCCACTGTCCCGCTTCACCTGTCCAATTTTACTGAGCCACAGGCTAGCAGCTGGAGAGGAGGGAGAGCTTTAAGATAGAGAGGACAACTAAAGAAAAAAAGGACAGAGTGTGAACATTTTTGTTAAGCTTGTTCTTCATAGAGTGCTTCAAATATTGTTTTGCAGAACTCGCCAGACGCACTCCATCTGTTCATCACAGCCTTTAGCTTGGAGCCAGCGCACAATGTCATACAAGCCATAATATACAGAAATTTAGAGTTCACTTCCCCTTTTTCGCACTTAAAGGGCCAAGCAGTCTAATTGCTTTGGCTCAATTAGGTCACATCAAAGGCGCTAATGGGCATTAAATGCTAAATGGTGTCCGTTTCGACCTCCTCAGGAACCCACTGAAGCTCATTAAGAAAGGTGACAGTCTGTAAAGGAACATCGGAGAATATGCTCCCCAATCAGGAGATGCACACACATATGCGCACCGACACACACACACACGATAATGGCAAACAATGCCAAACAACAACACCGAGCTGTAATTGCTCATGCAAGTAATAGAGTCAACTGTGAAATGAACAGGAATGGAGGCAGCCAATGAGGTTATTTGGCCAATCAAAGGCATCAACGCTTGACTGGTCCAGACGTACAGGCCTGAAAGACCAAGCATGACATTACTTGAATTTCCCCCTTATCTCACTCTGTTCTTGGACATGAAAAAAGGGCCTCAAAAACAAATGTAGCATAGAGCAGAAATTGTCCTGATCATCATATTCTAACCCTTTCGCCTTAGACGTAATGAGCAATTGATCATTTTGTGACTGCGGGTGACCCGACATACACAAGGAAATAAATTGCTACCCATTCAGAGTATTTCCTCCAGTCATAGAGCACAGGTTATAACATCATGCTCTACTTCCCAACAGCAGATAGTATCTGTCACAGATAAAGCCACATTATTATTTTCAGCTGAGAGGATTTCCAAGGGTTTTTTGTTTGTTTTTATTCCCTGTCTATTGTGAGAGATCTGCCTGATGTCTTGTGCAGGTGATAGGAATGATCCAACACGTTATAACATACACATCTAACATATTCAGTAGGGTTGGGTTGGTGTAAAGACTTTTGATACTAATTCAAACACCAGACTGGACTGATATACCAAATTTTACCAGGTGTAACACTTAACGTAGCAGCCGCCCCTGACCCCGACTGTCGCATCGCTGTCTGCACTTACTCGATTTAATGTGCACTTTCATTACATCATGTAAACAAGCCATGTAAATATCAGATGTGCATTCGATCAGACTGGACACGTAACCACTTGCTATCGTCCTACAGTTGTAATGTTACTTTAAAACAGAAAACATGTTTTAAACTGAGATATTTACTGGAAATGGCATACAATATAGTCAACGGCAAGTAGCTTAGCTTGTTATTAGCGATGGTCATTTACCTTAGCAGAAACTTTTAGCTTCCTGGTGATCTCCCACCAGCAAGCTTCACCTTATTTAGGTTTTTGTGGTGCAAAAGAAGGTATCACCTACATAATTCCTAAATTCAACTTCAGGAATCAACCATTCCTCATCTATTGCAGAGTTTTCAAAGCGAGCAACAAGAATAAAAAGAAACAAAAGCTAGTTAGGACACTCCCTTTCATTGGCTTCAAATCCAAAGTGTTGCTGTATTAGCGCAGTTTTAGTTTTCTTAAGAGACTAACTCAGCCATGTTTTGTCACCCCAAAAAACACATGAACTTTCCAGTTAACAAACACGGTGTGTGCCACTTTCCCCTCCTCCTGCCTCCACTAAAACTTGATCTTCATGTTGCCGGTGCTCAGCTCATGGCCTTCGAGACACTAGTGGCTCCATTCGGCTCCAATTACACAGACAGCGTTTTACAGGTTGCAAAAACACGTTAAATAAAAACTTGCTGCACTTTTTTATTGTAACCAGACAACCACCCCATCACCTGCTTACCCTAACCTTCTACTGTTTATTTATTTCACGGTAATTAGTAGCTAGTTACTAAAATGTTTAGTCAGAGGTTACTTGTTCTAGCTCTGGTTGAGGGTGAGAGGCTGTCAGTAAACAGTTTGTTGGGCACAGGGAAATAGGGATCTGTGTGGTTACATGAGACCCTAAAAAAGAGGGTGGATCATGGAGAGTACCACCAGTTGGTCCAGGAGCTTTGTCACAATGATGGCCATTTACAGTCATATTTTGGGATAACTCAGGGGAAGTATAGCTGAGTATCCACCAGCCGCTACCACCAGTTTCTCCTCCATTCTTTACCTACTGTAAAAGTGTTGTCATGACCACCACTGAAGGTCCACCTCTCAAATCATCTGATTGGACAATGGGAACAAATGGAAATGATGTAGGGCACTTTTCCGCTCTGAGTTGAAGTTTTTTCAACTCTCTCTCTCTAGCAAAAATGTGAGGCATGCAGAAATGCAAGGCACAAAGCAACACATGTGTTCAGGGCCTGAGTCCATTTATAAAAATATTATTTTGATAATCACATTTTAACATTTCTTATGATTTATGCAATACAAGTTGGATTTATCGCTGTGGAGCCCTCAGCACAGGCTGCTGATGTAGCCACTTTTTGACTTGCCATGTGTCCTAATGATAAATGCTGTTTTGCATTAAATCAAACTGGTTTAAGTTCATACCAGATCAGACTGGCCAAACCAGAATATTCAGCCATTTCACAACATATTTGTGCATGTTGTTTGCCTTTTGTTTATTTCCTCTCAGCCCAGATAAGTGCTGGAGAGATTTCATATATTCTTTCCTTGCTAAACCCCAGCTCAGAGCTCAGGGTTCACTTTGTTTGTATATAACACTAACTGCTAACTGGATTTGGGAAAACACATTATGCACCACATGGTTAATGGGCTTCCAAAATGGTGCATTGAGGGTGTTACGACCCCGACATTAACCACTGAGTGTGTAGCGTTCCTGCACACCTGCCTTCGTCCTTACCAGGGTGAAATATCTCTCTCTAATCCACAGCCTGGCCTAATCCTCACTCTACACTGCAACTGGACTCCAGGGGTCAACCCTAGACGATGTGAGGCCTGTGGGCACTCACTCAGCTCTGGGGTTATTATTAGCCTCGCTAGCTCAGCCCCTCACAACAGCTGCCGCTGCCCTGCAGCCAGCAATAACTCCCACTGAGGAACACATGCAAGCCATTTCATTGATGGAAACACTAAGCATTGCAGCGACACAGGACGATTTTTACACAATTCATACAGCCTCGCCGATCAACACAGTCGACTACGCAGACAAGTGTTTACACGTGTGTCTGGCTCGCACCCCACCAGCTACTCCAGCCATCAGGTTGAGCCGCTATGTGAGAGTGAACATTGACTTTCTGAAAGCTGGCACCATGGAGCTCAAGTTTGTCCTTGCACATCTCCGTCTCACCACATCACAGTAGTGGCAGGCCAACAAAGGCTTTTGTATTGCAGTGAGCTGCGCAACAAAAGCTACACAAACACGCCGATAGCGTTCTGTTGACGGAGGGGAAAAAAGAGATTGAGAAAAGTAGAGGAAACGCTAAGACTGAGGAGGGGAAAGACAATTATGGAAGAGGAACGGCAGCGTGACAGTGTTTGTGGTATGAGTGTGTGTGTGTTTGAGAGAGTAAACATGTTGAATAAAGAGGAAGACAGAGAGATACATTGCGCCTGAGACAGACCGGCAGTCCAAGATGAATCTGGCACGCAGAGAAATGAAGGGAAGGAGAGACTGTGTGGGCCGTGTGGAGATGGATGGATGGAGGGAAGTGGGATGTTGTGTCACCTGGTAGAGAGAGCTGTCTAGCTCTGGCCAGACCTGAGATTTAGGAGCATTCAGCGGCAGAGAGAGGAATAAGAGACCAAAGAAGAGAAAGAGGAGGTGGATGGGGGCGGGGTGGT